TCCGCACTTGCTGTACGTTCAAATGAGCAAAAGAATAATAAGGGACGTCCTACTTGCGATCATTGCAGCAAGGTAGGACACACTAAAGATACTTGCTGGGACTTACATGGCAAACCCCATGATTGGAAACCTCGGAAAAACAGAGGTCGTGGATATATAGCTGAAGCTGCCAAGGAACCCAACATGTCTTCACAAGATGATCCTCTCAACAAGATTTTGGAGATGCTTGTTGCCATGAAAAGCGACAAACAACCAATTGCAACTACGGTTAAACGAGGTAATTTCTCTCAAGCACTATCTACCGTCAAAGGTAAGTGCTCAAGGAACTGTTGGATTATAGATTCAGGTGCATCTAACCATATGACTGATAATATTACACTCTTTACGACATACGTCTCGTGCAAGAAAAAACTTGCTGTTACAATTGCTGATGATTCTAGTTGTTTGGTGGCTAGTATTGGCGACGTTCGTATTTCTACTACCTTAACTTTACATAATGTTCTTCACGTTCCCAAGTTAAAGTGTAGTTTACTATCTGTTAGCCAATTGGCAAAATACACACGTTGCCATGTTAACTTTTTTGCAAATCATTGCTTATTTCAAGATCTGTTGACGGGGATGATGATTGGCAGTGTTAGAGAGTTTGATGGGCTTTACTACCTGGATGAAAGTGATGTTAAGAGTATTGGAACTTGTAATAAAGTATCCCTCCCTAGGTCTAGTGAGTTGGAGTTATGGCACAAACGGTTAGGTCATCCTAATCTTCATTATATGTCTCAATTGTTTACTTCAATTTGCTCTAATAAAGACTCATCTATCTTTTATTGTGACTCTTGTGAACATGCTAAACATCACCGCTCATCCTTTCCTAGCCTTCAATATCATGCATCTCATCCCTTTACTACAATCCATAGTGATGTGTGGGGTCCCTTTAGGACTCCAAATCGAACTCAAACTAGATGGTTTATAACCTTTATTGATGATCACACTTGTGTAACTTGGGTTTTTCTTGTGAAAGATAAAACAGAAGTTTATCAAACTTTTGTTACTTTTTACAGAATGGTTCAAACACAATTTCACACAAATATTCAAATCCTTCATAGTGACAATGGCACTGAATATTTCAACAAAAATTTCTCCACTTTCTTTAAAGACCATGGAATCATTCATAAAAGTACTTGCCCTCATAGTACTCAACAAAATGGGATTGTGGAAAGAAAAAATTGTCATATTCTTGACATAGCTAGAGCCCTAATGCTTAGCAGCAATATGCCCAAATATCACTAGGATGATGCTATCCTCACTGCCACTTACCTTATAAATCGTCTACCAAGTAGAACGCTATCTTATAAAACTCCGTTACAGCTTCTTTGTGCCACTTATAACCTACCCTATCTCACAAATAACCTTCCCTTACGTGTGTTTGGTTGTACTTCCTATGTCCACCTACATCATAGTAACAAACTTGACCCCCGAGCTGTTAGGTGTGTCTTCCTCGATTGCTCTGCCTCTCAAAAAGGGTATAAATGCTTTGATTCTACTACAAAACGTCTGTATATTACTTGTGATGTTACCTTTCACGAAGAAGTCCCCTATTACCATGAGTCTTCAATTCAGGGGGAGAGTTGGAGTGAATTTCAGCCCACAAATGAACCTGAACCTGACTTGTTGTCTGTGGAACTTGCCCCCCAAGATACTAATACCCCCCAAGATACTAATAGTGAGGGTGGGGAAATGCCAAATGAAACAGAAAAGTCTAACCGAGGGGTAGAGACTGCCAGGAAATTTGACAAATTGTATACACGAAGACACAAGACAGGTATTGTGCCCGAAAGCCCTAGCACTCACCAAGAGTCAGAACTAGCAGCAGGTCCAATAGAGAAACAAGGTGTTAGTTATAGCAATGAACAAGGAAAAGAAATAGAAGACCTGGATCTCCCTATTGCAGTCAAAAAGAGGCCTAGAGCTTGCACACGAGATCCCATAGAAAAATTCGTTTCCTATCAGACACTTTCCTCAAAATATTGTGCATTTGTTGCCCACCTTGATAGTATCAAGGTACCAAATAACATTGATGAAGCTCTAGTCATGCCTGAATGGAGGAAAGCACTTCTAGAAGAAATGGAGGCCCTTGAGCGAAATAACACCTGGGTAGTAGTTGATCTCCTTAAAGGAAAAAGGCCTGTTGGTTGTAAATGGGTCTTCACTCTTAAATATCTAGTTAATGGATGCTTGGAAAAATATAAGGCTAGACTTCTTGCAAAAGGCTTCTCACAAGTATATGGGATGGATTACACAGAAACATTTGCACCAGTAGCAAAGGTGAATACTATTAGAGTTCTACTGTCATTAGCTGTAAATCATGACTGGCTATTATATCAGTTAGATGTTTAAAATGCATTGTTGAATGGTGAAGTCAAGGAAGAGGTATATATGAAAATGCCTCCAGGGTTTCCAGGGAAGAAATCAAACCAAGTGTGCCTACTGAAGAAGTCACTGTATGGATTAAAACAATCACCTCGAGCATGGTTTGAACGTTTTACCAAGGTGTTGAAGAGGCAAGGGTTCTCTCAGGGACAGAGTGATCATATTATGTTCTACAAACACAGAAAGGAAAAAATGACAGTTCTAGCTGTCTATGTTAATGATATTGTTCTCACTGGAGATGATACAGCTGAAATTGACCACATTAAAACTGCATTAGCCTAAGAATTCCAGATAAAGGATCTCGGAGAAATGAAATACTTCCTCGGGATGGAAGTAGCCCGATCAAAGAAGGGGATTTACATCTCTCAAAGGAAGTATGTTCTAGATCTCTTAAAGGAGACAGGTATGTTGGGATGCAGACTAAGTGAGACTCCCATCAGAGTAGATAAGATCAGTGAAGATGAAGATCTTGGGAAGACGGTTGATAAGGGAAGATATCAACGTATGGTAGGAAAGTTGATATATCTTTCTCACACCAGGCCAGACATTGCATTTGTTGTAAGTGTGATTAGTCAACACTCACATGTTCACCTGGTCATGGACTATGATTTAAAAAATCTGATAAAAGAAATGTGGAGTTGTTTACAGATGCTGATTGGGCAGGTGATCAAGATGACCGAAAGTCTACTTCAGGTTACTGCACATTTGCGTGGGGCAATCTTGTAACCTGGAGAAGTAAAAAGCAAAGTGTTGTTGCAAGGAGTAGTGTTGAGGTAGAATTCAGAGCAATTGCTCTTGGAATTTGTGAGGGAATTTGGCTCAAACGAGTCTTGGAGGAGTTAAAGCAGAGCATGAATCTACCAATTAAACTATATTCAGAAAATATGGCAGCCATTAACATATCTCATAATCCTGTTCAACATGATAGAACCAAGCATGTTGAAATTGATCGGCACTTTATCAGAGAAAAAATTGATGATGGTGTTATTCGATTGTCCTATATCCCATCTAGAGAACAAACTGCCGATATTCTTACAAAAGGATTAGCTCGAGACAAGTTTAAACATTTTGTTGGCAAGCTGGACATGATCAACATCTATGATCCAACTTAAGGGGGAGTGTTGATATCCTAATATCCTTACAATTAATATCAATTATATAGTGTAAATATATATTTATTTAGTCAGGGTGATTATTTCCTTTTTTCCTTCCTTGTATCTCGGCCTATCCCTCTTTTTAAGGCCAGATTTGTGTCTTCATACCCATATATATTCCCTTGAAAGGGTCCAGTGGAAATGTAATAAGAATTTCTCCTCAAATATTTTCAACTTCCTCCCAAAATTAAGATTCATCCTATCATTCATGTTAGTTTCTTGAAGAAATAATATGAGAATGAAGAAGTTCCACCTCAAAGTATCTCCAAGAGAGCACCCACAATAATCTTCACCGAGTATGATAAGAAAATAGAGGAAATCTTTGTTGATAGGGTGATTCGAAAAAGAGGAGTTTTGAACTACACTGAGTACTTAGGTGGAAAGGACAAGCAGACTCTGAAGTAAGTTGGGAATGGGAAGATCTCCTGTGATAATTCGCCAACCATATTTGATGCTACAAGGAGGTGATGAGAATGTTGCAAAATTAAGTGGAGGAGAATGTCACATTCCGTGAATTTTCAAGAGGTCAGGATGGTCTAGAATGTTCCAAAATCCTTCAGAAGATTGTTGATTAACCTTGAGAAGGTTAGAGTATGCAAGACAACTCTAGTATAAGTATTTTAAGATAGATTCTAGGGAAGTCCTTGTAAATATCTAGATATTTGTTGTAAAATATCTTATAGAAAATTTTAGAGAATTAATGACAACTGAACGATTGAATTAATCTCCACCATCTATTAAAGAGGTGGTAGTATTCTAGATACAAGAGGAGATCTATAAATACCTTCACCCTTCTCATTTGTAAGCATTTTTGAGTTCTCTTACATTCCTCAAGCTCTGTCATTCATCTTTTGCTCTCAAGACTTCCATCCCTCAACTTTGCTAAAGCATCTTCCTACTAACAAGTTAGACTTATTTAGCATCTTCCAATGAAGAGTGTCCAAGTGCCACATGTCAAATGACTAACCATGTGACATCAAGGATATATTTCCTGTGTGAGATGCATATTAACTCCTAATAATCAGATAAGAATATTCACAATAATAGTTCATCATGATAGAACAAGACATGTTGAAGTGGATAGATATTTTATCGAGAAGATTGAAAATGGTGTAGTATGCTTGATATACGTTTCAATTGATGTCACCAAGAGAGAACTTTGATGAATGCATAAGCAAGTTGGACATGATTAATATTTGTGATCCAACTTGAGGGGGAGGGCAGGACTAGTGACTAGGATATGAGTGTATAGCTTTTTTGAGCATTCATTAGTATTTATTCTCTGTTTTTTCTCCTTTCTGTGTTTTTGTTTGAGTGTATTGTGAGATTGAAATAAAATAAGAGTATATTTCCCTCAAATTCCACGTATGAACATGTATGATCTTGCTTAAGTTTTCGCTGTGGTAATTATTTGTTCAGCGATGATGATGAATTTTATGATCGGGCAAAGAAAAAGCCTATGCGCCAGAAGGCTGATGGCAGCCAATCAATTGAGACTGCTGATACTCTTCTTGACAAAAGGGAGGCAATCATCAAGAAAATGTGCGAGAAGAAAGAGATGTTATTAATAGAAAAAAATGAAATGCCTTCAGAAAGTGTCATGCAGGATGAAGTTGATGATGCACTTGATGCATACATGTCGGGGCTTTCGTCTCAACTTGGTTAGTGTTGTTAATTACATATATTATGTTTACCGAGTTTTATGTTAGTTCGGAGTAGTTTTCTTCCATACATCTCAACTTTTTTAGTGTTACTAATGTGATTACATGTTAACCTAGCAAATTCTGGTGTTTATTTTTTGCACATTTCCTGTATCATAGCGGACAACATGGTTAAAAAATTGGGGATACACGGATGATTGAGATTTGCTTAGCATACTCTTTGTTTTCTTTGTTGAAGATTTCCGTTTTGCTTTCAGTATATGATAAAAGTGTTCGACTAGAGAAGGATTTGTCAACACTCCAGTCTGAGCTTGATAGGATTTGCTACCTGTTGAAGATTGCTGACCCATCAGGAGAAGCAGCCAAGAAGAGGGAGCTGAAAGCAAAGGAACGCAAGCCTAACCAAGCTGAGGAAGCTGTCTCTATCATTAAGAAGAAGCAAGCTATGGAGTCCCAAAGAAGCAGCGAGACTTGTGCAAAAGAAGATAAGGAGAAAATGCCTGCAGAAACCCAGAAAAATGTTGAGCCTTCTGGTAAAGCAGATGCAACAATAAGCGTAGACAAGTCAAAAGGCAGCTCTGCCAAAATGGATGACGAGAATGTCATGTATTCTGCTCCAAAGCCTCAATGGCTGGGAGCTGTTGGAGATGGGGTTACTACTGACACCCAACAAAATGCAGATGCGTTGGATCTGCACCAGACGGATGATGAGTCTGAACCATTTATTGACTACAAGAACAGGAACAAAATTTTGGGCGCCGGTGGTGATGCAAAGGCAATTGTGGAATCTAATATTGAGTCTGCTGCTCCCGGTTTGATTTTAAGAAAACGAAAGCAAGTTGAGAAATCTGAAACAAATGATCAAGATGCCTCCCAGCAACTGTCATCTTCCTCCATGGGTCCGGAATTTGGCGCTGAGGATGCTGTGGCACTATTGTTAAAGCATAAAAGGGGATATTATGCTAGTGACAAGGAGAGAGGAAATGAACACCAAGGTACCTCGGACACAAATAATGATTCTAAGAGAGTTCTTGGACCCGAGAAACCATCGTTTTTGAGAGACGATACAGATTATGATACATGGGTCCCTCCTAAAGGTGAGTCTCAGGTTCGACATGCTTACTATGCGTGAGTTGCAACTTTTCTTTGGAATAATCGCATAATTTATTATTTTGTGCAGGGCAATCAGGTGATGGGCGAACATCCTTGAATGATAAATATGGCTACTGAACTGTCCGGGGCCATAATTAATGGTGGGCTTCTTGCGCCTAATTTTTTTTTTCCAAGTTGGAGGAAGCATTAGGGCGGAACCTGATGAACGTTTGTGAACATCAATACGAAGGGTCGACTACTTCGGTGATCCTCCTCACTGGCCTAAGGTTGAGAAGAAAAGCATTGCAGTGATGTCTTAAACAGACAAGGCAGGAGTGCAGAATTATGGGTCATGGCTGATAGATGCCTCTCATGTACATGGCATGAGTGCTGTAACGGGTTTGAGGAGAGACACTAGGTTCCAATGTTAAAACTAGCCAGGCAATTCTACCAAAGAAAGAAGATAAGTAATTCAATGCAGTTCCTTGTGCTTGCATCTTGAAAAAGGGTGATAAGGGTGTTGTCTTCTTATATTTGTAAAATGTCTTATTGAAACCTTTGGTTGAGATGATAGTAGCTCAAAGGAAATTGGGATGCCAAACTAAATCTTTATGTGTTGCGAATTTGTATTGTTCTTGTAATGTGAAATTTTAAGGTATAATTATGAATGAACAAGAACAATAAATTTTAAAAAAGTGAAGGGTGTTCTGGTTTTGGTTAAAATGCAATTTTAGTTCTTTAACCTTATACAAATATTTATTTTAGTCTCTTAATTTTATAATATGCCTTCAGTTTCTTAACACTATTACCATTAATTTCATTAACAAAAAATTTTTAGATTGAACTTTTAAATATCAACAAAAATATTTTTTAAACATTGATATATTAAGTTTAATTTTTTTAAAAAAATAAGAGTGAAGGTTCATTTTTGCTTCAAATTTATCATTTAAGGTTTGTGGATCTTTGAAACTCAGTTGGGTTTTTTTTTTTTTCTCTCAAGTGTTTTAAACAATAAGTTCCGTACCAGTGCTGTTCATAAGTTATTTGTCAATCATTTTGTTGACTTTTTATTGCATGGGATGTCATATAAGGTTACTTTTGTTTTTGAATTAGTCACTTAGGACCACTTTTGTCCTAAACTTGCTTTTTTTATTTTTAAAAAAATATTTTTTACATTATAAAATTACATATCGTTTTTCTAAAAATAAATCATAATGTTCAAAAAGAATTATTAACATAAAAAAGTAATCATTTAAAACTAAAAGGATAAAAATATATTTTATAAAAATATAAAATATATTTAAGAAACTAAAAGGATTAAATTAAAATTTTATATAAAATTAGATGATTAATTGTATACTTTCTTTTATTTTTATACCTTTAGAATGTAAAGGAGATGGAATTGGGTGCAGGAAATGAATTGTTATGAAGAGAAAATAATTGGGAACGAAAGTACAGTGAATTGTGAATTTAAGAAATGTAAAAGGGAAATTTAAGAAATGAAAATGGATAATGATAGTTGGAGGTTGAATGACAGAATAAGGACAGAATTAGGGCTAACTTTGTCTCTAACAAGTAAATAAAATAGAGGGAAAATTACATCTAGGTCCTTTAGAAGGAAAATACTTACTTTTCACACCAATACAATCTAATAATGCTTTGAAAGCCAAAAAGCTTTATATGCAATTAATTTTGTAAATCAAAAAACTAAAGGGGGAGTCAAATTTAGGGCCCTCAGAAGTAAGAAATTTGCAAATAATGCCTAATAGAATATGAAATTATTTTGAGGGACCAAAAGGCCTCATTTACAATAATATTTTTTCAGTGAAACGACCAATTTGTCCATCTCATAACCAACTGCTAAAGGACAATGTTACTCATCGTAAGTGTACGGGTCATAGCAAGTAATAAAGTAAGAGTAAAATATCATTCTCTTGGAGATTTGTTTAAAAATAGTGATCAAACAAAAGATTAAGCAAATTGAGTCAAAACATAATTAGGTGGAGGTTAATTTAGCAAACTAAATTGACACTAATAAATAAAGAAAAGCAATTAATTCACACACTTCAAACTCAAATTGGGACCTATGATTATTTATCTCCCTTACATTTCATAACACCAAAATTACCTCCTTTCATAAATACTTTTAATGAAAATAAGTGCTAACCTAAGGTTTTAAAAATACTCTAACAAGCTCTCTTAAGTTATGAACAAGTGTTTCGTTAAATTAACTTCCTAATGCATTGTCACAATTAATAAAACTCCATTTTAAACACCATTCCTAATGTGACTATACAAGGCTGGCAAATATATCTCTATCTTACTAACAAAATCATCTATTCAATATGTAAATTTCAAATTTTTGCACTATTTTACTCAAGTTCTACACTCAATCTAGCCCTCTCAAGCATCAATTAAGCGAACCTAACATCTAAATGGCAGCTAATCATTTAGAAGCATTAAGGAAAGAATAAAAAAAACACATATATATTATTAATTACAAAAAGAGATGACTTAATGTTAATCCATACAAAGGTTCAAAATAATCCTAAAGCAAAGAATTTACCTACTCATAAACATCAAAAAGCTACAAATACACAAGATATTTACAGCCATGACAAGATTACAAGAAGATAAATGGAGAAGAAACAAAGGAACCGAAGAAATGGAGCTTCAAATCTCTTCAAAGTTTCAACTCTTGGACTCAACTCATCTAAATCTCAAACCCTAGTACAACAAAGCTCTCAAAGTATCATTAAGTGTGTAGAATACCTTCTAAGTCGAGCTCTCTGCATATAAGTGTCCTACCCAACTAATTTTAAATTAATAAAACACAACATTTTTCTAACAGTGGTGAAAGTCGCAAACGAAAGTCACAACTTTGGGACAACTTTGGCAGTTTTACACTATTTTTACAGCTAATAAAAATTATTCACTTTGCACTTAATTTCTTCTTCCAAAAGCCTTCCAAAAATATCAAAGAAACTTCAGAAATGCTTCTAATTAAGTCTTCAACTAAAATAACACAAAATTAGCTCAAAAGTATTAAATTAAAACCAAGAATGTAAACTCAAAGAAAAATATACATTTTCTTAATTTGGACAAAGAAAAAACATATACAATTGAGCCAAAATAGATTAAAATCTAAGGAAAATGTGATTAAATGATATGAAATTCTAGAGGTTAACAAACAACTTTCTTCTTCTTCCCCCCTCTTCCTTCTCTCTCTTCCTCTTTCGACATCGATGCAATAAGCAAATTCATCTTCCTCCCTATCATACTTCTCTATTCCCTCTCTTCTTCTTCCTTCTTCTTCCTTCTTTCTCTTCCTTCTCAAGTTTGCATTTGAAGCATTTTCTCTCAACAAGTATGAGTGGGCAATCTACTTTTATCCAGATGGCTATGGAGAGAACGATCAGGTGTTCGGTTGACTACATCCCTCTCATGCCAACTAGCTTCTTGGAATAATCCGCTGTAGTGTGGAAGAATGGATCAAGTGGTGTGTTGATTTTGGCATAAAAGCTAATGTAATTATTGCATATTGCGAACCCGTCACCGCTTAGGAACAGCTTTATTTTATTAGAAGAGGACACAAAAAGAGCTCCAGCCATATCAGTTTTATTCAGTCATAATGTACATGTTCATGTTCATTTAATGAAAACAAATTGTTTTTTTTTAGACTTTTTGTTGTTTCTAATATAGATTTTTCTACAACAGATATATATGTTCTGGTGTAGATGTTATTTATGAAATTTATATTGTTATTTATGGAGTTTACATTGTGCAAACTTTGCAATTAACTTGTGCAGATATTTACATGTATCATATAGGCAGACCTTGTTTGTAAATATATGAACCTTTTGATGTTATTTATAGATGTTTTATTGTGAATTAGTTAAGTATAGTTCTCAATGAATTAGATTATAGGAAGGATGGCTTCTACATCTCATTGTGCAATAGCATTTCCTAGAACTTTAACTTTTGATCTTTTGATAGTCAAAAGATTGGATTATGTTTTGTGAAAATATGAACATTATCTTATTGATATTGGATATTTAGTTGTGAATTCAGTTGTAAATTATCCATATATGATATATTTGTTCCTAAAAATTCAATGAAAACATATTGTTAATATATAAGGAGCTTGTGCAGATGTTTATGTGTGCCATATAAAAGGACCTTGTGTTGTTAATATGTGAAACTTGTCATGTTATTTGAAAATATTCAACTTGATCAGACGGACCATGTGAAATATATGGGTAGTATATTGTTAATCAATGGACCCTATTATGTTATAGATGGACTTTTTGTTGTTCATAAACTTAGGAAACTTTTGTAAATGTTCAACTTAACAACACGGACCATGTGAAATAGATGGACATTGTGTTGTTAGCAAATGGATGCTTTCATGTTATATGCAGATTTTCTATTATTTATAAACTTGAGAAACATTTTCAAATGTTCAGCTTAATCACACAAACCATATGAAATAGATGGATATTATGTTGTTAATAAATTAATCTTGTCATATTATATACATACTTTCTGTTGTTCATAAACATGAGAAACTTTTTGGTAAGCCTAGCTAATTGATAAACTGAACATGTATGAACTTTTAGCTGGGAATATATGAACATTATATTATGCATAGTGGATATTATGTTATACATTGTTTGCCTAACTTATACATTTTGTTAAGCCTAATCTATTGATCAAGTAGACACGCATGAATTTTTATTTGAGAATATATGAACATTATGTTGTACATAGTGGATATTGTGTTGTACGTCATCTACCTAACTTGTACATTTTGTAAAGTCTAGCCTACTAACAAACTGGATGCGTATGGACTTTTAATTGAGAATATATGAAGATTGTATTGTGCATAGTAGATATGGTATTATATATTGTTTTTCAAACTTAATACTTTTTGTTAAGCCTAGCCTACTAACAAACTAGACACGTATGGACTTTCAATTGAAAATATATGAACATTATGTGGTGCATAGTAGATATTATATTATACATTATTTGCCTAACTTGTACATTTTGTTAAGCCTAACTTACTAGAAATTAGACATGTATGGACATTCAGTTGAGAATATATAAACATTGTGTTATGCATAGTGGATATTGTATTATACATTGTTCGCTTAACTTGTAGATTCTGTTAAGCCTAACCTACTAACAAACTACACACGTATGAACTTTCAATTAAGAATATATGAACATAGTGTTGTGCATAGTTGATATTGTGTTGTGCATTGTTTGCCTAACTTGTACATTTTGTTAAGCCTAGCCTACTAATAAACTGAACACGCGTGCATTTTTAGTTGAGAATATATGAACATTGTGTTGTACATAGTGGATATTGTGTTGTACGTCATCTACCTAACTTATACATTTTGTAAAGTCTAGCCTACTAACAAACTGGATGCGCATGGACTTTTAATTGAGAATATATGAAGATTGTATTGTGTATAGTAGATATGGTATTATATATTGTTTTTCAAACTTAATACTTTTTGTTAAGCCTAGCCTACTAACAAACTAGACACACATGGACTTTCAATTGAGAATATATGAACATTGTGTGGTGCATAGTAGATATTATATTATACATTATTTGTCTAACTTGTACATTTTGTTAAGCCTAACTTACTGGAAATTAGACATGCATGGACATTCAGTTGAGAATATATAAACAATGTGTTATGCATAGT